GAGGACGAGACTACAAGTCAGCTACCATGATGCAAGTGCAGAATACGATGACCTTGCTACCTCAATTATAATCTTACATGTAAGAGCCGTATTTTATCGTTGGGCACAAGGTATCTCTAATACTCAGTTGTTATATCTCATCGGCCACACCAATAAAGCTACCAACAGCCATCCAATCCTTGACACCCTGGAAATTTTTTGGAACAATCATGCGTCTGGTCACTAGTTCTTGGCATCAATAGCCGCCACTTTAACACGGGATGATTGACGCTCGAAACCCCCCAAATCTGGTTTGTCGTGCCAAGAAAGAAAACAATCAACACCTCAGGGACCACAAATCATTCCACATCAACCCAAAGGAACACGGACTGTGGCTTAAAAAGTCACCAAAACATTGACGAACGTCTTGGTAATCCACTCCCCGGTTCCCAGCAACTTGGTAGAGGGCCGTTGAGAACTGACTATTTGGGCAATGAAGATCCCAACCGCTACTTCGGGTACATGTGAGACCTCTCATTGGACGGCCCTGGAGCCGCCCTCCCGCCCGGCCAATGCCCAGTTGGCTTCTTAATTTCGGTCTTTTCCATATCGAGACGAGCTTCCAGATCGAGTAGTTACCCATTTCTAGATCGTGTGGTACATACATTCTTTGGCTTTTTTCACACCCTTGTTTTTTACTCTTACTTCTTTTGTAATATACAACATGGGCTTACGACGCTTAGTATCGGTTACACTGCAGATGTATCACTTTCTCGTTTTCGTGATCTTCCAGATCCCGAGAGCGAGAGGCATGGAGTATTTGGGTCCATTTCGAGATTGTATCCATGAATGCCCTAGGCCTGGAATGTCAGCTAAATCGAGGAAAATAATATTCTTTTTTTTTTTTTCCGTATTTGATCTTTCCTTTTTCTCAGGCAACAGTCAGTGGTATTTCTATACCGGGTAGAGACGCCCGACCCAAGTGCTATAAGTATTCAACCCCTAGGTATAAACCTCGAAGTAATACCTAGTAATGAGATCACTCTCTCTAATGAGCCTTCTGATAGAACATATTTTCTGTTTCTTAAGGAAAACACAATCCCGAGTTTACAACGACATTGCCGAACACTGGACTGGATTTCAAACAATATCGTACATATATACAGGATAATGTCTAGCAATTCTTAGCTCTCCCTTTCAGTTTTAGTGCTCACCCCTCGTCGCATTGTCTCGCTGAGTAAATTGAGCACGTTCCTAAACGGACTGAATTGTGCGGGTTTCTGATCCATTTTGGAGTTGAACAGCATGAGCTCAAATGATTCGGGTCTCCCCGAGCTACTGTCCCTTTAACTGTCCGCGCGACCCCTCCATTCATCAACCCGGATTATCCAATCACGAACAAGAGCTTCAAAAAGCCCAGTCTCATCGATAGGAAGTCCGTGCGTACCACGATCAAGAACAGCATAGGTTGATCGTGGATAGAGCTCCAGCAATCGAAGACTGTCTCGATAGCCCACAACTTGATCTTGTCGACCGCATACAACAAGTGTAGGTGCAAAGAACTTAGCACTTTTATCGTCCAACGAAAAAGATAACTGATAACGATCTGGATCTGTTCGGATCGGATCCAACACCTTGATATCTGCTGCTTTCTCCGCTGGAAGGTAGACCTCCTCGTATTTTGCCTTTAAGGTCTTAACATAAGCAGGCGTTTGAACGAGAACGTTTAGAAGCAGTTTCTTGTCTTCGGCTGGTAGGTTCGACATAAGTTGCTCATTTGCAACCAAAGGACTGAAAGCGTCGAGATCGCGCATGCTGTCCTTGGGCTCAATGAGTGGTACGCGTAATAGTAAACCATCGACTTGATCGATATATTTTTGAGCTATCGCACGTGCAAGGTAGCCGCCACATGATGAGCCGACAAGCAGGAATTTCGAGCTCCCAAGTCGAGAATCAATGAATTGCACAAGGCGATGGTATATCTCGTCCAGATCTTTGACATTATTCGCAGGTGTTGTGCCCATGCCTGGGAGGTCCACGTAAATCCGGCGAAGTCCCGGTGTTTTGTTGAAGATTGGCTCAAAGTCCACCTCCTCGCCTTTTCCCTCCAACTGCCATCCATGGATGATCAAGACGGGAAGGCCTTCGCCGATTTCATGTGCAGATAATAGAGATACCATTTTGTTATTGGGTAGTGATTTTGTGAATATATGCGTAGGAACTAGAGTAGTTGATTGCCTAGAGGGGTACAAATTGTTCATAAGCACGCGATCTTATAGTGCTGACAAAGTGCTGCTCTTATCGTGTTAGCGTAGCCCAATGGATAATACAAGCGAGCCGATAACATCGTGTGTTTTAGTCGTGTCCTAAAAACCCAACACTGTTCAACCACTAAAAACTTACAAAAAAATTAAAATATTTGGTTGAGCTGAGAAGTGGGGTATAAATATCTCATATACCTTACTCTATATACCCTGCAAATGAGCGACTACATAGAATAACTTCGCGCCTTGAAAAGTGCGCCAGCTCATATTTATCCTAGATAATATCTACCATGCAACCTTCCCCTTTCTGTTTCATTGCTCACTTCTTACCACTTTTTGATCATAAGTAAACCCACAGTTAGGTTTGTGTTCTTAAGGCTATACACAAGTAAAGATCCTCTAGCCCATTTAGTATGGAAAGAAAAGAACTATATTGTGTTTCCGTAGGGGGAGGGGGGAGGGGTTTAGAGCGGCAACACCACAGTAATCATAATAATCATAATTGTAATTATATAACTTCCTGATTTCCGGCTTGTCTTGCTAAGCGCTTGAAGTCTTAATAGGGCCAAAGAGTTAAATTCCTATATTAGGCTGCCTTCAGATCAAAGCTTCTGATTTTAGGAGACTCAAACTATCTTCGACTACAGCTTCAAGCATATAGCATAGCGAGCATTTGGTTTGCTACCTACCTCTACCCGTTGACAATTTGCCGATAGTATAGCTAAGTCAAATATGTTGTTTTACACTCCGTGCATGAAAACTCCCAAACACGGTTAGTATTACGCCTTGAACCCGTTCCTAAATACCATCCAATTTAGCGAGATTTTCCAGTTCACGCTGATTATCACTTGTAATAATGAAGCAAATGCTCCTAACATACTTGTTGGAGAACCCCTCAAGTCATATGCTGTAGAATGCACGGCATGATAATCTGAGCGCTTGTCATTCAAATAGCTGTAGGTAGCTGTAGATGCTGAACATCACTTCCACTGCTATGACAAAAAGGTAGTTGTGGGATGGCTTACATATATGTATGATAGTAATTAGGGGCAAGGATCGACTTTGGTGGGAACTAGTAGAGAAAAAAGAGACAGAGCGTAAGTATGTCTAGGTACTTGTCATATGTATTGTACAATGTGAAACTCGATCAGACACAGCCATAATTTTAAGTATTTCAAACTCCTTCCACTTGAATTCCCAAGCATTCCACACGAAAGCAGTATGATATCATAGTCTTTCTTAAAAGTGGGGCAAAAATCAATAATTTCATTTTCGCTTTTTCTCTACGCGGGTCGTCCCGGTACGTGACCGCTCCTTCGGGTATAGGGGATTCTGGTTACATACCATACCCATTAGCCGGTATCTCAGAAATACATTCACGTATGTATCTGTATCTACTAGTATTTTTCGGTAGCCGGAGTGTATCATCCGTTGGAATATCGTTTGCCCCTCTGATTGATGTCCCTGATTGGATCTTTTTCTTTTTTATTCTTCTTTTTCATCGGAGTATCTAACCGCTAGGACTATGATCGGCATTCGTCGCTTTTTATAGTGGGTATTTAGTTTGGCTAGGCACTGCTTATGGGAACGTACTTTGTGTCTATAGTATATAAATGTTGCACTTAACCTAGACGTCATCTTTCTCACAGTCAATATTGACATTGGGCTTATAAGGTTCAAATAATACCTTAGGTATCCACGGTTGCTTATGTCATGATTATGTCGTTGCAATTTCAATTGATAAATCATGCCCTAAGTCGTGTCACCATTGTCCCTGACCTGACAGTAACATAGACCATCCTTCGTACTAATATAGGGCTGATGCTTAAGCCCTGAGTTAAAATAGAACCCTGTTCTAGACTTGCTGATAATCAACAATTTTCAATGCTAAAGTGATGTCCCATTTCTGCACTTGGCCTTCTCACAGTGTCTGATCTAAATTTAGGTTGTCATGCCAATAATAATCGTTACTTCAAATATAATTTTATAAAGGTTCATATCCTTGCAATGTTTTGCTACTTTGTCTTATTCAAATTTAGTCCGGGACCTCTATGGCTAGACAATAACAATGGAAAATATAGCTATGCCTATTTGCCTTTGTTGTCTTATTAATGTGGCACGTAGACCATTGTCTGTGATACCCCAACCTCTTTATAGAGATGATTCTGTTCATCCGAGAGTCTTAGGGTGCTAGTTTTGAGCTGATCTCTGTGCTAAAGCCGGACATGAAGTCCTGTATACTGTAGCCCACGACATGGTTCTACCGAATGAAACCCCCCGATGTTAGCCAAAGGGTCTTTTCTTTTGCATCCACTTCAGTCAATGGACTAGATTTAGACTGTCTCACTTATGTTGTACACCTACAGTTGCCGGTATATCCAGTTTAAGGTTCTATTTGAGTCACACCTAGAGGTGTGATGTTCAAATTATATTCCAGGAGTACTGCCCTGTCAAGTACCTCACTATAGCTATAAGTGGCAGTCGTGACTTCCTTATACGTTTTGCCTCAAAGATGGAAAGCACATAATCAGAAACCAGCACGTGTTTCCTCGTAGTCACGGGCACCGTTCCTTCCTCAACAGGTGGTGACTTTGTTTACTATTTCTTCCCCCAGCTCCCACTTTCTTTTCTCTTCTTTTTCTCTTCCACTTCACGCTCGTTCCCCCTTTTCTACATTCACCTTCGTTTCATTGATTGCTTGGTTATTCCATCAAGCCATCACTTGACATTCGTTTATTAATCTTCGTCTTCACCAAGATGGTAGCTTGGACGTGTTTCAAGTTGCTCCTGGCCATGGTCACCACTCTGGTGACCATGGTTGCTGCCTCGGCTGGTATTTCTCATGGCCCATAACTGGCTACATTTTGATCACTTACTGACCTTGTCGTCGAACAGAATGCCATGACATCGAGACGGTCTTTCTTCAGGACCCCCACACTGGGGAGCAGTACCAGTTTGGTAAAGGCAAGTTAACCTCACTGTTTGGGTCTACCTTGAAATCTCCCGTTGCTGATCAACCTTCAGTGAATATTTTACCTCAAGCCTTGTTTGGTCGTGCTGTTCACGCGTCTGAACTGAGTAAGTCCAGCCTCCTCATCCTCTACTCGGGGATTTCCCAATTCCCTCGCCTTCTTTTTTTAGACCATGAACTAACTTGATACCAGTCACTGTTACTGTTACCCACACTACCTGCGGTCATGAGGAACCGACCACAACTGTCACCACAGATGTTCTTTGTACCTCTGAGAATTCTACTACACCTCTCACCATGGAGTCTACTACTCCAGTCCCGGCTCAGGTCACTACCCCTGTGCCTGGTGTTTCTCAGTCTATCGTGCCTACTACTTCGTCGATCCCGGTGCCCGTTACCACTCAGACTTCTGTGCCCAGCACTCCTGAGGTGACCACCCAGTCATCTGTGCCTGCTGGCCCTCACAGTTCTGTTCCCGGAACTACTGAAGTGACCACCAAGTCTTCTGCGCCTGGTACAACCCAGACTCCTACGCCAAGCACCACTTTCGTGACTTCGCACTCTTCCGTGCCCGGAACCCCTCAGACTCCGGTACCCAATACTACTGAGGTGTCCACTGGAGGTAGTTCTGTAACCAACATTGAATCCTCCACGGTTACTGCCACTGTCACCGAGTCGGTTTCTTCATCTCGTCCCAATGCTACCAGCGTGGCTCCTGTTCCTGCCACCACTGCCGAGGACCACACCACTTCCATGGTTTCTGGTACTGTCACTGAAGTAACAACAAGTCCCGATGCTACCAGCGTGGCTCCTGTTCCTGTCACTACTGCTGAGGATCACACCACTTCTACAATTCCTGGCACTGCTACCGAGATCACCACCGAGATTCCTGGAACTACTTCTGAAGTAACTACTGGGTCCATTACATCTTCTCGTCCTACCAAGGCGATTCCTGTCCCTGGTACCACTGGAATCACTTACACAAACTCAACTCTTCCACTGGCTCCTAGCACCGTGACTGATGTGACCACCTATTACACCACGTCTCCTTGCCTCAACTCAACTGAGCTGGCTCCTACTCCAGTGACCACTGAGATCACCATCACCATTGAGGTTCCTTGCACCGAGACTACCAAGTGTCTCAGCACCAAGGTTCTCATCACCAGCACCCTGCCGGTTTCGGAGACAACTGTTCCCGTTCCTGTCCCGGTTTCCACTGAAGAGATCACTGTCACAGTTGAGGTCCCTTGCACTGAGACCACCAAATGTATCAGTACCAAGGTGTACACCCCCACCCCTGTAGAGACTACCACTATCTCTGTGACTCCGATCCCGGTTACAGTTCCTGCTCCACAGACCACCACCAAACTTGTGACCACTATCCTACAGCCAACTGTTCCTGGTGTCCCCCCACAGGAGACCACCCAGGTTTTGACTACTGTGATCCAGCCTACTACTCCTGTTCCTGTTCCGTACACCACCACCAAGATTGTGACCACTGTCATACAGCCAACTGTTCCTGGTGTCCCCCCACAGGAGACCACCCAGGTTTTGACTACTGTGGTCCAGCCTACTGCTCCTGTTCCTGTTCCGTACACCACCACCAAGATTGTGACCACTGTCATGCATCCAACTGTTCCTGGTGTACCCCCACAGGAGACCACCCAGGTTTTGACTACTGTGGTCCAGCCAACTGAGCTGGTCCCACTTCCGCCCGCCACCACTGTTGAGGCTACCACTGTGGTCAAGGTTCCTGCTCCTCCTGCTCAGCAGGTTACCACTCTGGCTACGACTACTGTTCCCAAGCCCGTGGTTACTGAGGCCGAGGGTACCACAACCGAGTCCAAGGTTTCAGTTGTGCCTCCTCGACAGCCTACCCTCACCCAGGAGGATACTGTCCCACCATCTCCTCATGGTACTTCTTCCAGTGGCACTCATTCCCCTTCTCCTGTTTTCAACAGTGCCAATGCCGCTGGAATCATGGACAGTCGTCTCTTTACCATGAGCACTGTGGTTATGCTCTCTCATATCTTTCATTTGATTATGTGAGAACGCCACACATTATTCCCGTGTTAGGAGACAAGTCTAGCCATCTTCTGATGTAGCAAGAATAGTACCTGATGCGATGATTGTGTTTGCGATGGAATTTGAGGAACCTATGGTTTTGATGGGTGGCTGTTTTTCTTTTATGGGATGCAACTGGCTCCCCTTAATCTTGCAAATTTTATTAGTGACTCATATTCTATTTGAAGCATGGCTTTCCAAATTTCAAGAACGTTCACTATTGATTATGTTCCACGTATCTTGTAATATGTAATCTGCAACCAAATACTAAGTTCAAAATCAAAAGAACTGACCAAACAATGCATTCGGGTAGTTACATTTCGGCTATGAAACAAATGTTATAGATAAACAGAATGTACTACGTATGTAGTTGAGCAGCCAAAGTATTGAACATAACACACATCTTTAACAAATGAATACAATGGTCAGTGTGGTAACCTCACAGAATGGATGAATGCTAATATCCCCAACAAGTGGGTGCAGTAGCTTGACTAAAAGCCAGGGTATCTCAAAGAAACAAGGAGAATGCATAGGTATGTACACTTGGAGTATACACACAGGACAGACGTGAATGGGTACAGATCCCCCTACCCCAACAGAGTTCAAACCTCAACCTCACCAAGGGATTCGATATCTCTCGTCAGAGCACAGATCCGACATCCATCACCAATCTTGTCTCGCAGGATTCTTGCCGTCGTGACTTTGGGACCAACGGTGCGAGATGCGGTAGCAGACCGGTTCTCGTCGACTGGAGACATGGCTCGGGGTGTGAGATCTGCAGATCGGTCACGGCTGTTCGTGCCGGATTGTTGCTGTGATGTGTCTGCGTGCAAGTGAGATAGATGGAAAATATGACCACAAGCAAAGCCAACGAGTATCTCTCGCTCTGTAGCAGGGTTATCATTAGCATCTTTTTTTTTTCTCGCCAAGGATAACTTAAGGAAACATGGAATGGAGTTGGGTCAGTATCATACCGTTTTCCCGGAAGGCGGCTTTGCAACCGCCGCATCTTCCCTGTCCAGGGCCTCCGAATTTTCTCGCACCACTGCTCACAGATATTTGATCTTGAGCTTGGGTCTTTGTTGTCGGTGTCTTGTTGGAATCCTCCTCTCTGTCATGAATGACGTCGAACTTGATTCCCCGACGCTGACCTTTGCGCAGCGAGTCCATCCCAAGTGCAACTTCGCTTTGCATAACCCTGGCCGCACCTTGGCTGATACTAGCCTGCAGATCATGCTCACGGATCAAGCGAGTGAGGCCCTCTCTTAGACCTTCAATCTCCAGCCCGCTTGGGATCCGACGCACAAGCTTTATTGGGTCGATGGCCGTTCCGGCCTCGACAAGAAGACCGTGGATGAACTTTGGTTTATCCATAGAGTAATCAAGCAGATCTTCCCACAGATCAGGATCCCCCTGTGATTTTGCAAATGAAATGGCCTGTGAAACATCCTTGAGATCCGATAGAATCAGGTTCAAGGCTCGCTTTGTCTGGCCCATCTTGGACAAGAGGAAAATCAACTCTGGTGTGAATTTGTGGTCTTCGCAGATGGATGTGGCTTTCTCGAATGAATATGATATGCTTGTTTGGAGGAATTCCATCAGGAGAGGCCGGTCGTAGTCGGCAAACACCTCAACGGCCGTATCAGCAAAGTTATCAATCAGGGCTTTACCTTCATCAGCAGCAAGCTTGCTAGCTGCATCCCGAGCATGGGTTCCACGTCCTCTCCTAGGTTTAGAGGCGTCTTGCGGTAATGATTCGCCTCGCCAGAGCGCTCGGAGATAGAAATAAAGAAACAGGAACCGGTTTGCGGCGATCAACTGGGATACCACGGTATCTGGGAGGACAATTCCCGTGTATGCTTCACTAACAAGGAGTCGCGTGGGCTCCGAAGTCAACTCCTCCAGTTCGGATTTCGTGGCTGACTGCATTTGCTCTTTGGAAACCCGAATCATAATGAAGGCCGGTATATCATCAGTGACTGCGTCGAGCAAGCGGTGTTCCCGGACCAAAGCCATAGCAGCATCTCCATCTTGCAATCGTATATAACAACGCAAGGCTTCGCGATGGTGTCCTCCTACCAGGAACAACTTGGCGAGGCAATCCGTGAGGATCCGCCACTCCTCAGACCCGGCGCGCACTGACTCGGATTTCGCCTGTGCTTCGATGGCTTCTGTGACCACATTCGCATCAAACAAATCGGATGGCCATATTTCGATGAGTTCTTTGAATTTGACCAAGTCTCGTGACACATAGTGAGTGAGAATGACTTCGTAAATCCGAGAAGCCAATGATGGATTTAAATCAACCGGGATTTTCGAAGTGATCTCGTCGATTTTATCATTTTTGATAAAGGTCCATGCCCAGTGTTCCCATCGTGGGGCGTTGCGGATGACTTTGCCACAAATGCTCGCAGCCTCAGTCCACTTCTCGTCGCTGACAAGTTGGTCGATCCAAAGTTCCCCAAGGCGAGCCTTCTCCTGTTCAGCAGCAGAAACTTTTGTTCGACCAGCCGTTGTAATGGATGATCGATCATCAGCAAAAAAATCACCTAAACTAGTTTGAGACCCTCCTGCGGCCTCAGGAACAACTTCAGTTAGGTCAGGTATCGAGCCTGCAGCTTCGGGATGTTCATCGACGAGACGCCATGCATCCTCGTACTGGGCATGAGAGTCAAGCCAGGACAAACGGTCTGCAAGATCCCTTTTTACTGCAACAACGCAGTCGTATGGGCTATGGACAAAGATTTTGGCACCAGGAGCAACTGCAACTTCCTGCACCTCCTTCGGAAGGGCATCTTCGGTCGCATGAAGTTTGGACATAAAAGAGGGAGCAACTCTACCAGACCCCTTGTCACCACTGCTTGTGGTACTTCGGATGCTAGCGCCGGAGCTGAATAGCCGCGCAGAGTACATAGTAGCATCCAAAAGCCCATACCCAAGAGCCCCCAAGGCACCACGCTGGACGACTTGACCTTCTGGGGTCTTCCACGGAGGCAAGACACTCAGATGATAATCGGACGCCGAGAGACCTTCGAACCGGTTTACTGAAAGTGTATCAGCGCTAACTTCTTCCTTGGTTTCAATGTCAATAACACGAAGTTCAGGTTCCAGGCCCTTTTTCCGATTGCGGGTACCACTGCCTCTTCCGTTACTTGCAGTTTCCCCCTCGGTCTCCATATATGCGAGAATGACAAGAAGACGAGGCGTATACAATGAGATGCCAGATACCACGCAGTCTGTTCGTAATCTGTGTTCAAAGTCAGCGATGGACAATTCAACGCATGCAAACTCCAGCTTACATTGTAACAACCTCTGCAGAGCCCAGTTTCTCGCCCTTCGATGTTTTGCTTGCCCTTTCGGGGTAGACGTCAATGACCCAAACAGTTCCTCCCCAGCCGACGACAAGCTTTTCCACTTTCTCGGTCGACACGGTCGACTGAATTTCTGAACTTGCTGGATTGTCATTTGGATCGAGATTGTCCCGACTGTCTAAAGCAGACTGGTCAATCCATTCTGCGCGTGCTTTCCAAACACCGGCCATTTCATCCCAGCCGGGACGATTTGGACGATCAATATGGCTGATTCGTTTCCACGCAAATTCTGTCTCTGAGGAATCTAGATGCAGGTTTGACCGCATAATCTTGATGCCTTCCTCGTTGACCCAGGCTACATATTTTCCTGAAAGTGACCATTTAATTGTGCTTATAGTCCCTTCACCGCTGTGGATAATTGTATCTTTTCCACTAGTGGATGCCAGGCCCATGGATCCAAGCCAACTTGACGCTGTGGCAGCCGCACCCCCCATTGTTGTCGAGTTGGAGGTCGCTCCAATACGACCACCAGTCGTCAGGACCAATTCGCCCGCCCGGCCACCAGACAGGAATGCCCGATCACTTTTGTACTCCGGAGACAAAGCGATAGACTGAACTGGTCGGCCAAAATTGCGCAATAGCACATCCTTGGGGTCTACCAGCGACGAGACACAAACGTGACCATCAATTGAGGAGGTTCCAATGTAAATCGAGTTCGATGGTATTGGAGGAACAGTTGGGTGAGTACCCAGTTTTCCTTGGCCACGGATACTGCCGGTGGTATTAGATGATCGTGTGGATGGTCTGTATTCCTCTGCGGTCTGCTTGCTGAAGGTGTCTTGTCTGAGGTTCGGGAGGGGAGGCGGAAATGGCGATATCGATATTGAGGTAACACTTGCTGAGTGTGCATGGTATACACGGAGAGACTGCAGAAGCGGCAATGACATAACATGCTTGACAAGGTCAGCTCATATGTCTGCGCGCTGGTGTGGCTAACTTACGACGTTCCCGTTATGTGTCCCGACAATCTAGGTACAACGTTAGCTCATTATTATAGTATAGATTCCGCTAAAAAATACATACCATTTTATCTCCTGCTACGAGGAACGAGCTTGTCGCATCCCCATTGCGATATACTGATCCTAGGTGCTTCGTGAGGTATGCGTACTTGAGGCGGGGCTCCTCGTCCTCGTCGTCCGAGTCATCTTCTTCCTCGGCCTCTTCTTCTTCTTCCCCATCGTCACTGTTACTAGGGCTGTGGTCGTTGTATCGTTGGTGTTTATCTTGGGCGCCTTCAGTCGTGTCTGTTGGTGAACTGGTTCGTATGGATGTGTCGTGCTTGGGGGTGCTCTGAACGGCACTTTCGTCCGGCGGTGTCGCGCCAGGCGCGTCCATGGCGAATCCCTCACAGCACCTACAGCTCCCGAGCTGGTTAAAGTGGAATGCGACAAGCTGGAAACGGGATTCTGTGGTTCTACAGTTGAGCCGGGGTAGGTCAGGGCCCCGAGCTTGGTTCCATGACTAAGCGGGGTATCGGGCCGCGCTGCAAAACGATGTCATCGACCGAACCACTGGTGTTTTTGTTCCTCAAACACACAATGTTTGCCAGGCCATTTGTCTGCTTGAGCTGCAAGCACCCAGTAATACGGCTTCCTACGCAACCGCAGATCCAAT